GTGTCATGGCAACAGGCCGTGGAGGAACCTGCTGTCGTGTTACAGCTGGCATTTGTCGTAACAGTGACATTAGAATAATTGAGATCCTCTTCATTGGATGTTGACTCGGAATACAGTCCTGTCATGGCGTACATAGATTCCTGGCGTCGGTGGCCATGTGAATGGCCCCCTGAACCACTAGCTGTTGCTCCTCCACTGTTAGTGCCATTGTTGCTACCACCAGCCGCCATTTTTGTTGTCTCTTAAAATGCCCAACAGCCTACATCTGACTCATGAAGATAGCATTACACCGCAAGATCTCTGCAACAGAATGTTACAACACATCCCAGTTTCCTTAATTGGGAAAAAAAAAAAAAAGAGTTTTGCAGACCTGCAACTGGACGTTTTATGGCTAAAACACTTTATCCGAAATGTGACCTTTGCGCGGCCTCCAATCATTTTATTGGAGTTACGCAGAGCTGATCATTTTCCATGGAAACTTTTAAAACAAAGCAACCCAACTGCCTGGACACCGAATGCAATATTTACTGAATTATCTTGAAGTAAGGCAACGATTTCACCAACTGGTAACAAGATACCTGTCTACTGGGATTTATGATTATTATTTGTTATTCCAATTATTTTGTGTGTTTGTTTGTTTATGTAGCCCTTGTCTCTTATAGGTTATTCCTGTTCGAAAGTGCTCTATATATGGGACTTAAACTGACTTGAAATATTATAACTATTTTCCAGCTTTAATTTCTTATTTAATCTTCTTTACGTTTACAACTGGAATACTGTGTATAAAGTATTCAGCGTAAAATTTGGCAGCCTGTTGGTTAGTTGCTTAGTTGTTTATTTTAGGACACTGTCAGTAGCTCAGAATACACAGCATCGAATGACAGATAATTAATAAACAATTAATTTGAAAAGGTATGGAAGAAATTAGTCGTCGCCTGAGGGGACCGAGGAAGGCCACGGTTACCCTCAGTCAGGACAGACAGCCGGACTTCGGGGCGAGGTCTGAACCTAATACGAAGCACCAGCAATGATTTCGTTTGCACAAATGAAGAAAGTGGAGATTTTAGGAAGTTCGGTTTTTAATGTTGGGCTCAGTTTCTTTAGTGTGTTGACACTTAAGAGTAGTCATTGCAATTTAGATAACTTCAACCCTTGTAATTCAGTTCTTCAAAGCTTTTTATTATTCAAGGATCGGAAAAAGAGCATTTGTCACAGGACCCACTACAGTGCATCGTAAGTACGCATCGTAAGTACAAATCGTAGTCTACAAACCTAATTAGCTATAATTATCAAGTTTAAACCGTGTTTATTTATAACATAAAAATTAACATATTTACGTCGTCTTAAATCTAAAACAATCATGTCATCCACAGTAAACATCTTACATTAAAAGTTACTCACAAGAACAACAAAAAATAATTTTATCTTTTTAGAAATTTCCCATCGACACACAGGAAAGTTGTCACAAATGGCTTAGGCCTACACAATACGACTGAAAAAAAAAATTTAACACTGATCGTCACAAACTATTCAGTGAATGGTTGTTGCTAATGAAAATGACGGGATTGGCGGAACATTCTCTGGGGAATATGCCCACTGCTTCAACCAGCCAACTCGAAAGAAACAAGCAAGCGGCTCCACAGTCCATCAGATTCAATTAACATGCTGGCATCACAACTGTTCACGAACTTCGTTAAACGAAGGAGTAAACTGTCGCGCTGATTTAGCGACATGAATCAAGCCTTGATGGAATAAAAGATTTATCTCACCAGCTGTTTATATGCAACGCAAGCCTTGCATAGCCAAAGATAATTTAAAAGCTTTACTACCATGGCAATGGTTATAACAATACACACATTCATAAATATTATCTCCGAAGGCCAAATCCCCTTACATAATCATCAACCAACCAACAATTGCTCACGGGCTCAAACATACGTATAACGTTATTTAGACGAGCTCAAAAGGCAAAAGCGTGACAACACCGTCTTGGCTCGAGCAGTGGATATGGTGCGAACTGACTGAAATAACCAGATTGGTGAAGATGCTCCAAGGGGCAGTACCTGCAGGACAATGTAAACAGATGGGACAGCGGTGAGGGGCGATTACGGAAGGCGACAGGCATTGCGGACCAACGCCGAGAACTCTCACGGTTCGGCCGCACTACACGTGTTTCGCTCGGCGGGAACGCGATTGTAACCAACAACAGAAACCTTGATCGGCCTGCCTCGAAGCCAACCTCTACTCTCCCCGCTAGCAGAACGAACCTCTCGGTTAAAATCGCTCACTATCTAGCGGGATACAATCACAACCACACTGTTAAAATAATTCAAAAATCTTTCCCTGACAGTCTCGGCAGGAGATGAGAAGCGATGATGCTGTGCTGGTCGAGAACGAATTTGCTCTGTCTCGCTATTTAAGTAACTTGAGTCAGGTCCCTCGTGTTCCAGAACGAAATTATGAAGAATACATACAGCTTTCACAATTGAAGTTGCATTATGTTCATCTGTCTCAATATATTTAAGCAAAATTAGCCATTTAGTACACATTATTCGAAAAGCACATTCTACAAGTGTACGTATCGAGTGACAGTCGTGTTACGTCAGTCAGAATTTGACGTTTGACCGTCGTAAATGTCAGGGAAATTCTCCGGCCGGGACTTGCACATGCAGGTCTCCATGTTTTTTTATGCCAAAAAACTAATCACATCCGAGCCGGGGACAGTTCAGTCGGTATGTCACGGGTACGTACCCAGCCATCCAGCGTCCTAACCATCTGGTACAGGGGTCTTTACCCGGAGTCTTAGGCGGCCGAGACATGTAGCTAATCCACTCACTCACCTTCATCTAGTGTCGAGGTAAAGAATGCGTGGAGTTATACTTCCACTCCCCCTATACGTATCCATGGCTTAGCGCTTAATTAAACACAGACAAAACTTCACTTATATCAGTTTTTATGAAACAATGGACCGTTGTTGAAAATACTGATGCAGTTATATTACGTGAAAATGTCACAGGTTACATCAGACCGTAAGGATCAAAATTAAATTCCACTAAAAAACATTAAATATAAACATTCTCCTCGAAATCAAATTTAATCATCTAAATGGAATATGTAACTAATTTACCGCTTGCTTTAATACTCATTAACCACGCATTTTGTCCGCAGTGACTCTCAAAATAAACAGCGACTGTTTCGTTAAACACGACTGACCAACTGTTCTTTTGAGGTAATGACGGAATTTGTAAATATTTAGATAAACGTTAGCTTTAAATGGGTAACGGAAACGTGTTTGATGTATCTAAGTCGAAACATGTGAATGTACACATCAAACACGCATAACCTCAGACAACAAATAATGTACAACATGACTGCAGTCAAAAGACTAATATACTTAGCTATTCGTGTACGACTCAGTCACATTTCATAATGAAACTCACTTTTGCACAGATTTCAGGAGTTCCGGCTGGAATACGGACGGATACAATCTTGGAGGAAGCCAAAGTAACGACTAAAATCAGTGTTCGTTCCCTGTAGCATGCGAAGCAGCTGATGAAGATAAGCTTATTGGACAAGGCTAGTGTTGACTTATGGAACATTGAGGTCACATAAACCATTGACCTTTTAACTGCATCCATCACACTCACTCAAAGAGAAACGAAGTCTAAAACACACATTTACAGCTGCTGCAATTCAAGCGAGAATAATGTTACATTTTTAGGATGTAAAACCACGATAACGGTGGATGGGAGGCTGGGTGGGCTCCAGCGCGAGGGGAAAACCCAATGTCCCGGCAGTGCATTCCATCGCGTAGTCGAGCGAGCTGCCCGGAGTCCTCCCTCCGAACCGAGTTCACCGATTCTGTCCAAAATTGTACTGTTTGCCTGAACTGAAATTTGTAGGATAAATTTTGGTTCGTATTGGTCCAGTAAAATCCTTCCATAATATGCAACTCGAGAAATGGCTTACAATAAACTGATATATTTAACACAAAATGTAGATTCCATTAAGATCTACGACTTTTATTTGAAGCATTTCTGAATGGATCTACAGCGTATATTTTAAAGAATTTGTTAATTTGCAACAAAACATTTTTACGCGAAAAAGAATGCAACATAGCAAATAGGATTTGAGGTTTTCGCGGTGGTAAGTCCGAAGATGGCTGTCTTCTGGGTTGCAGCGCCATGTAGTCTGGTAGAAGGTTACCAAAGTTGTCATCGACCTCATGATAAAGTCAGCAAGGACCTCAGAAATGTTGGAAAACATCTAGCAGACTACACGGCGCAACAACCCAGAAGACAGCCATCTTTAGCAAATAATATATTGTCGAGTCGTAATAACGGAGACTTTAGGAAAACTGAGTACATCTGAAATCATGAAGCAGCTGTTAATACACATCACACCACTTGCAAATGGCCAAGCCGTGCATTGGACTCTGACTTCTCCAATGGAGGTCAACACTTAAGACCCGGCACGAAAACTCGGCTTCTTCTTTTATGTTTTATTATGTGGACCGACTCAGAATTCGAATTCTATACGATGTGCGACCCCAAAAGTTACTATTTTAATAAATGTTAAGCTTGAAATGAATATCAAATAGCTGTGTACCTCAGTTTTATATTGTAATTAAATAAAATGTAAATGTGTTTCGATTAAATTCGCGTTTGTATGTGCTTTTGGAGAAACTGCATATTCGCATGTTATAGTTAGATAAAGACGATGTCTTATTTTTCGTAATTATAATTCGTCGTAACACACACGCACTGGTTCATTAGCGAAAGGTTTATTCAACATGTGTTTTGTTTTAGATTTTCATGCAGATACATATTTATGATGAAGTACAGTTTCGTAACCCCGTTTCGTGAGGAGAAATTTCGTGTCATCATGTGTCTCTCTGACAAGTTAGGGTGTGCCGCTGGTGAATAAAGGTCGCAGAACATTGAAATACAAGAACGAAAAACATATCCTAAGTTTAAGCTTGAAATCAGAAAAAATAGGCGGTCTAGACTTTCCGCACCCATGAGACGCCCCCCCCCCCAAGTCAATTTTTAAAGCGTCCCTCGTAGAATAAAGAGCTTGGCATGCCTGCTCTAGACAAGTAATGGTCTGCACACACCTGACCTGCATTCTATTGAAACGTCGAGTACCAAAATTCGACTCGCTGGAACTGACGGATAGAAATCAGAGCTTGGTTAATTAAGATTCTTCCCGTGTGTAAGTAACGGACAGTGTCGTGACTTGTGCCGCTTATGGCTTTGACCGATTTAATTTATCTCAGAGTCACGTGGGAGTCGATTTAA